CCCCCCCCCCCCCCCAGGCTAATCCACAAGAATCTATTCAATGATACTATTACACTTTACACATGAAAAACTTATTTATTTGTAAAAAAAACTATCATTATTTTAATTTACTCAAAGGTGTATTGTCATTCTTAGGGAAAACTTGTGAGTTCTGAGGAAGATGCTTCCATTGCTTTACAAGTATCAAATGCTTTAACTCAAGCATTGTTGAAATATAGAATGCAGAGCATCAAAGAGGTAAAAGATGTAATGTTAACCACTTTCTAATTAGGGATTAGTCCTCGAGCATGAATTGGCTACGAGTCAATAGGGTAATGGGCTATTGAATCAGCCAGCCCATGAGGGCTAGAGGACTACCTGTTTTAGTCAAATCCAACTAAATGGTCAATTATTTAGATGCAAACAATTGAAGTTAAGCTAAATTTATTGGCTTTCAAAGCTGGCACTTTTTGCTATAATATAGCCTACTAGTACCTCATCCAATCAGAATGCAGTATTGATGATAGACTGCTAGATGGATTTGACTAATATACGATAGGTATTAGAAGATATGTACTTGAAAGTACAGTGTACTACACCTTACTGCTAGTGCTAATTCTTTTGTTTTTGGTGTCACCTGGGGAAAGGAGAACAAAAGACTTGTCCCTAGCACCAGGGCCACCCTACCTCCATGTGACCAATCTCTCATAAGGTAGGGTGACCCTACTGCTAGTGCTAGTTCTTTTGTTATAGTGGGAAAGTGGACCAAAAGTCTTGTCCCTAGCACCAGGGTACCATTTGGATGATCAACTGTCTGCAAACAGTAACCTGAGTTTCAGGCCTTAGGGGTGTGGCCGTTTGAATTCTGAATATGAGTGCGATTGTGTGTTGAAGATGAATATCAAGCAAGCAGTGAATGGTCTGTGACTGACAGCATAAGTATGATATCTACACTAGACTAGTGTAAGGGTACTCTAGTCCTGGTCATTATCTTTCTACTTGATGTTAACTTGGTTTTTTCATATTTTTACTGTTCCAGGAACAATATTGAGATAACCTGGAATTCTACGTGGAAGAGTATTTTCATACGTTCTATTAATAACTTTGTACATACAAAAATACCCTGAGGAGAACCCTGTTTGATTATGGCATTAGTTTCTTGTTCCTGTTTGCCAGCCATAATCAGGTTCCTTCCTTTCTCATTTGTTTAATAAATATTCCATTTGGGCAAAACATCTTTTGTTAAAAGAAATATGATAACGATATGTCTACAAAGAGTAGTCATGTGGGCAATTGAATTCTGAATATGAATACGATTTGAAGTGAAAGACGAATGGTGGAACAGCACGTGTATGATATCTACTATAGAATAGTGTAAGGGTACTCTAGTCCTTGCCAATATTATGTACAAAGAGATTTACCAATGAAAATGAATGTAAACATAGTTGTTGTAAAAATGAATAAAAGGCAATCATAGCAGACAAGGTACCGGGCTTGACAAACATACCTTAGGGAGGGAGGGAGGGGATTTCTGGTTACATTTGGGTAAAATATGATGGTTTCTTGATGGCCGAGAGCAGTGCTTTTTAATCCTGAACATAATACAACCAGCGGGGAAAAAACCATTAAAAGCACGCTGAGCGCGGAGTTTCAAGGTTATTTATTTTATCGTTTTTCTCATAACAGACGTCAATATATCTTTGATTATAGCCTGCAGTGTTTCGTATTATGGTCGTTAATTGTTTTCCGACTTTCTTACTCTCATTGCCTTCAGCTGTGTCTTTTATAGTCGTGAACATGTTTAATCTTTGTTCACATTATCAAACAGGGTTTTTAGTCATTATAGTATTATACATTTGTAAATAGGAAACCAAATAGCGGTGACGGAAACATCCAAAAGCCCTAAAGCACCATAATAGGGATTCAGATGCCTACATAAAAAGATGACTATTGAAAAAGTAACTCATAATTGAAACCCGTTCCTTGTACTCCTCTTAAACTGAGTGGACTAACCATGCGTAGGCGCCTTGAGTTGTGCCAATAACGACTCGAGTCATAATCTGTTTTAACAGGAGATCATGTATATATGTTTTCCTTAAATACGAAGAAATAGAATAGTTACAGATGTCATGTATTTAAAAACTACGGCGTGGGTCGAGACGTTTGCCATGAATATAAAGAAGAAAATTCTAAATGAATCTTTATTATCGCTTTTATTGACCAAAATGACGGTACAACACAAATATCATAGACTTTATGATTCCTTTGATCTAGAAACACGAAAGAAAAACCAGTATTTCTTCAAAGAAGTGTTCTTCGATCAGATGAAAATATCAATTGAAAAGCACCTGTTCGATTCTGGGTTTGGCTTCCCTGCTAGCAGAGTCTCTCTTCTCTTTCTCTCCCTTCTTTCAACCAAAACAAAAGGAAAATAGGCTCTGCTAGCAGGGAAGGGTTTGGCTAAACGAATCTTGTCAACTCGTAATTACACTAAATTCACATTCAATTCGCACACACTGAAACGGTTTTTTATTGTTATTAACATTATTGTGTTCATTATTTCGGAAGTATTTGTAGGCTCGTTAGTCTTTTTGTTGATCGTGTTTTCAATGGGGAATATCCGCAAAAATGGTCGATCACTTCAAACTCGCTTCACTCGTTCATATTAATAATAATAATAAACTTTATTACTGTGTCATGTCGTTCTAGCTTATTTAAATAAACTAATTGGGGACACCAATTATTATAAGGATCATTTGTTATAGTTATAGTTATAGTTATAGTTATATAGTTATCTTATATTTCAAATTTACGGCCCTTTCATCCATTTTGTTTAAATTCATATTCGTTTAGCTTCCTTGAGATCTTTTGAGGGCATGACAAAAACTTTGGAATATCTTTTATTCGAACTGAATCGCACCGTCTTTGTTTCCGATAACGGTAATATTTTAATCCTTTTCAGCGATAAGACATAAAAAATAAATCAATCTATTCACAAAGAAACGTGGTTGAAATGGTTTTGTTTGACCGTATCGTATATATCCGTACGTACGTACCGCTGTTCCACGCGTGAATAGTTTGGCCGCGTAAGGAGTTCCTTTCAATTTGCTATCGATGTTATCTGGATTCAACCCCCTTTATCTAGTTAACTCATTATGAAGGAATTCTTTAATGTAATGTTACCCTACATAGCCGTACCTCGCCTTGATTTCAATAAACACACTGCTCTCATTCTGCATTTGGAAACTTTACTTTGATAGCTATTTTTCAAGTGAACTCCGGGCTAAAAGCTTTTGACGCAAATGTTAAAAACGGTCGCATCAACGCGTATTGATTGAAACGGATTAATACTAAATTAACAAGGAAATCTCTTTGTCTCGTTTTATAAAAGTTTTGTTCAATAGCCGAGAGAGTCATTTCAAAGTCATTTAGATTAATGAAGTAAATTTGATTAAACTAAATAAACTCAAAAAGAGAGGTTAGTCGTTGCTCCATGCTACCCCAGTTTACCGAATCACGAAGTACTTTGGTAATAGATTATAATTACGGAAATCCTTGCCTACAGAATTACCGAAGATTTAAATGGTAGAAATGTTTTCAAAAGAACTCTTATCACTTGAGATCAATGCTAAAATACAATGTGTCCGAGGAATGGCGTGGCTTGCGAATCAATTACTAATGTTTGATGTTAATATTCCTCACAACAACGCGACAATCACGTCACAATTAAACTCTGAATTCATCAAGAGATAAGCTTAAATTGCGATGTAATCTCTAAGTGTATAACAGCCCTCCAGGCAGGTGGTATGATCGTATTGACCATCGCTATATAAAGATTGGCATCCCATTCAGCTAAGAAGAGTCGTCAGCAGTACCTCCACGTTAAACAGTTCACAACATGAAGTCGTCAATTCAACTAGTTGCTTTGGTTTGTACACTTCTAGCAGTTCAGCTTTTGCTAACAGAAGCTCGAAGCTTTGCTTCTTCAAGAGGTACGTTATATTACTTACTTAATCAAGTAATTTAAAATATAAGGCGTGATTGTATTGCAGTTCGTAAACTTGATGTATCTAACTGATTAGTTTGAATTGTCTTCCATTTTCTTTTCTATTCTCTATTCTTTTTTTTTTTTTTTTTTTTTTTTTTTTTTTTTTTTTTTATCTTCTTCTTCTCTCCTTCCATCTTTTTTGTCTCTTCTTTCACGATTACAGTATATAAATTAGCCCTTTCAAAGCTCGTTTTGCTTTGATCTCGTTTTGCTGGTTCACGTTTACCCAAATCGACTGCAAACTTTAATAGGTTATTTTATTCAATAGCGCCACTAAAAAGACAATTTACTCATGTTAGGCCGGGACAAAAAGCGCCCACTCAGTGCCGAGCACTAAAACAAAAGAGCTCTCAACACTAGAAAGAAGCAGACATCATTAGAGGAAGGACCAGCCAGTATATTGGAAAATTATAAAACGATACTTAAACCAAATAAATCATACACTTCTAGTGTAATAAAAGGCTTTTCATATAAAGTGAACAAGTTTTTAAAGCGGGTGGCTGCTAAAGTCAATTATACGCTAATAACATGCGAATACTGGCCGGTCATATACCATAGTTATACTCTCTAGGTCAGTAATATCGACACTCTTTGAAGAACTGACAGAACTGTCTGGCTGAATGAGGATTTTAATATTACTCGATTGTTACCTCTTCTTTTCTCTTCTCTTCTCTTCTCTTCTCTTCTCTTCTATAAGAATAGCATTTGATGTCATATTGATTTTCCTATAACGATAATAACGTACCATATCATACTAACTAACTTCTGCTTTGTTTACTTTATCATCGTACATATGAATATAGATATGGCAGAAAAACGATCAAGTCTGAAAAGTAAGTCATAACTATACAATCATGGACAAAAATGATGAGATATTTTGAGTTATAATTGGGATATTTTGATGTAGTAAAAAATATTAAAATCCCCTTAAAGCGATCCCAAGAGATAGAGCGGTACTACCTATTGGGATCAACATTGTCCTGGGGGGAGGGAGTACGGTAAATTAAACGATATTTTATGAGGAAAAATTGCAATTYATAATGATGTGATGAATGCGCAACTCCTCTTTTCGTCCAAGATTGTACCCGTTACAGACACTAGCTAGATCCTCTCTATCCTGGGTTACAGGATCTGGGAGTTAAATCATGCACTTCCGCAAGAGAAACGCGTCGCTAGTCTGTTGCTACCTCCTCTTGTTTTCGAATAGTAAGGAGATGAAGTTGGGTGGCTACTGGTCTGTGTCCTTCCGCGCCCTTCTCCATTAAACTAACGCCTTAAACCACATTCAGCCACACACCACTTTAATGCTGAAATTAAACCGAGCACGAGACAGCGATCAGAGCAATCATGTCATTTTTTCGTCAACGGGGCGATTATCTGGCTTTACGATCGGGTACTAAAATCTTAATAACACCACCTCTCGGGCAAGTTCTGTGTAAAAGCCCCGTTTACACTGGCGATTTTTGCGGCGATATTTTGCTGCGATTTTTGTGGCAATTTTCGGAAATATGAAATCTTTTATCTCATCCTTCAAAAGAGACATTCGTCTAGGAAAATCTTGGTATCTTGAAACGACCGCTATTCCATTCGTGTGGAGCCTTTTGTCTTTTCCTGTGCTTTGAGGGSTTTTCTTGGCTTTTCTTCATTATCAAAATATCAACGCTTTTCTGTCCAGTTGTAGCTACGCTGCAGATCTATCTCCACCCACCCACCATAATATAACATATGTGCTGTCAATCTTTCTAATATATTTCTTTATTTCAACTTGACAAGGACAAACAGACTTTTATTATATTGTCTCTGAGTGGAGCGAGGTAAGAACACGCTATTGATTTGCTGGCTAGTCCTTATTATTTGCTCATGACAAGCCTTCTTCTTTTCTCTTTTGTTTCAGTGTGATTGTAACACAGGATTGAAGTACAGAACAGTTACGTGTACACAATCTCCATGTCACTTCAGCCGCGCCCCATCCCCCGCCACTCGTTGTGAGTGTTGATGATCATTGAACTGGTTGCTGAGTCAAAGACACTGTTGGCTGAATAAACTGAAAAACATTGTAATGGCTGTCAGTCAGAATGAATTACTGGGTTAGATTTTTAGTGATATTTCATGATACTAAACGCCAGTCCTTATGGCTGGATTGCTTTCCCATTCAAGGAACTTTTTCATTCGTTTTAAGTCTTTAAGCACTCTTTCTTTCATACACACAAACAAATAATAAAAAACATGTTATAACACTGATAAATGAATCTGATCAAATAAAGACAAACCCATGTATTTCTCAGTATACCTCTTGCTGTTTCAAAGCTCAAAACTCAAAACTCGCCCCAGTCTCTTGCTCGTTTCTAAAGTGGCCCATTGACGCTTGATCGGATTAATCTTATCGGGCATCTAACCAGACGTTAGGAGAGATCGAGACACATTGGTCTTGTACTC